ATTACACTATATTTTTACTATATTTACTATATTTTTACTATATTTACTATATTTACTATATTTACTATATTTACTATATATTTGCTATATTTACTATATGTACTATATATTTACTAGAGTTACTAGATTTACTATATATTTACTATATTTTTACTATATTTACTATATATTTACTATATTTACTATATTTTTACTATATTTACTAGAGTTACTAGATTTACTATATATTTACTATATTTTTACTATATTTACTAGAGTTACTAGATTTACTATATATTTACTATATTTTTACTATATTTACTATATATTTACTATATTTTTACTATATTTACTAGAGTTACTAGATTTACTATATATTTACTATATTTTTACTATATTTACTATATTTACTATATATTTACTATATTTTTACTATATTTACTATATATTTGCTATATTTACTATATGTACTACATATTTACCATATTTACTATATTTATCATATATTTACTATATTTATAGACAATGTTTCACTATAAAATCTCGAAACTTTCATAACGTATAATTTTCGCCTCAACGATTGATTTTACGCCCAGAAGAATCGAGAGGAAATTCATCTGATAAAAGAGAAAAAAAAAATTATATAGTTTTGTCCCAGCAAATAAGACAATACCCGCAATAACTTGACCTACTTAATAATCAGCGTGAAAAATGCAATGATAATAAAACAATTAAAGAAAAAAGAATTGCTACTACCTTCTTTCTTTTTTTTTTTTTTTTTTTTGCTAAAATAATTATTAAAATAAAAATATTTCTCCCATTTTTCTCCCATTTTTTTTTTTTTTTTTTTTGATAAAAATTGTTCCAATGACCTTCCTTCTCGCGACCGCTTTTAATATCTGATTTCTGGGCTAAGCAATTAAGCAATGATATTAAGTTCGAAAAAAAATGGTGAAAAATAATTTTACAGTTAGCAAATGAGTGTAATTAAACATGAGATCAGCCGAAAGTGACCCCGTTGATCAAGGAACATCTCTTTTGCTTATTGCGGTCTTTCCACGAATATAATTAATATAGTGAAATGGCGACGAAGACGAAGAGGAATATTTAGAGGCGAGCATGGAGAGTAGTACAATTTGAGCATCAAAAGGACTTGGCAGGCAGGTCGGAAAGTTGTTAAACGGTGAAAGTAGAATTTAATGTGTATAGAAGAGCAGCAGCGCTATGGGAAATCCTGCGTGCGAGAGGAAGTGTTTTATAGAGAAGGTGTGAGAATGTCTCAATAATAAAGATCACTGCTCGCGACAAGAATATATATATGATAATGATAATGATGATAGGGTGTAATTAGTGCGTGACCGAGACTTACGCTAAAGCTACATATTAAACTATCTGACAAATATCTCGAGTATTTTAGAATCTAATATTTTCTTTTTTAGTACTTCTCTTGTTTCTTCCGTATTTTTAATACCTAACTCTATTTTTTCTTGTTGTTTTTTTTTCATTTCGTAAATTTTACTCTACCATTGCTTTTTAATTCAATTCAATTTCAAAAATAATTTCCATATTTTTTCTATGATTACAAGAACAGTTTTTTCTGACACTTTCAGCTTCATTAATGACGATCAAATTGAGACAAAAAAACTTATGAAAATATTTGCTAAGCAACGTTTTGATATACTTTTTGTCTCAATTTGATAATTCTTAAAAAAAACTGTGTAGGACCTAAAGAATTCGATACAAAGTTAAAAATGAAATTTTTATGTTTCATTTCAAATATTTTGTGCTTTTTCATAAAAAATTTTCATTTTAGTCTTCAATTTAGAATTTGATGAAAATTGAGACACTACTTCACTTAAGTATAAGAATTTTTACTAAATTTGAGTTATTATTCACTAAAACTTTAGTAAAAAATATATGTTATAACTACTAAACAAAATACACTTGAAATTTTATACTAAGAAAATTAAAGATTATTAATATTAATGATTATTAATATCATTGTCTTAAAATTATTATCTTAAAATGACCCCTTATACTAATTTGAAACTAGAGTTTTTTTATATTTCAATTTTCAATGAATAAAATGAATATACATTGTTTCTCGAAGTATACAACTAAAAAATATTTTTTTAAATTATTTATTCATGAAAATGAAATGAAAATTTTTAAAACAATTGGAATTAAGATTTTCAAAAACTTTAAATTCAAACTTTTAAAAATTCAATAACTTATAGGAATATTATTATAAAAAATGAAGATATCGATCGATTTCTTCATGTTTTATATTAATTATAAATATGACCGAGTGATGAAATCGTTATTTTATAATTATAAAAATATTGTTTCTGAACCATTTTTAAAATTATTTTTATCATTTTAATTTAATTATTTTCTAGAATTTTTAACTAAAATTTTTTTAAAAATAAATTATTTTTCATAATATTTGAAAAAGTTCCTTGAGATTTTTTAAATCCATTTGTTTACAGTTCAATTTTGAGAAATTTCGATTATTCGAAAATTCTCCAATTAAATTTATATTAGAAAATAAAAACTTGAAATAATTTTCTAAAAAATTCAATTAAACTGTTTCAAAAAAATTAATTCTACAGAATTGTTAGTCAAAAGTATAAAAAATTAAAATTTGTAAAGATTTTAATTTGAAGCCTTTTTCAAATTCAATTATTTCTAAAAATCCACGCTATGTTATAATAAGTATTCAATTATTATCTAAAATTTTAACTGAAATTCGTTTTTAAATCAATTTTTATTTGAAAATTCTACGAGAATTCAATTATTTAAATACAAAAATAAGTAATTTTTAAAATAATTAAACGTTTCTAAAAATTAAATTTTCATAAAGAATTTTATCAACAAATTTTTTAATAATTGAATTCCAGTGAAATTTTATTTATTACAATTTCGTTTAAATAATTTAATTCTTTAAAAAAATTTTATTAAAATAGTAGATACTGAAAATTATTTAATTGAAAAATATTTTTGAAAATAATTTAAATTTTCTTAAGAATGTTATTAAAACTTTTGAAAATAATTGAATTTCGGAAAAGAATTTGATTATTTATAAAAAAAATTGAAATTTTGACGAGAATTTAAAAAAAATTTTGAAAATAATTAAATTTTTGCGAAAAATTTTATTACTTTTGAAAATAATTGAATTTCTGCAATGTTTTATATATAACTTTTCAAAGTTCAATTTTTTTAGTTGTTTTTAACTAAAATTCTTCTCTAAATTCATTATTTTTAATAATTAATTTCCCTGATCTGTGAGGTTGTAATGTTATTAATATTTAATTATTATCGAAGATTTTAACTGAAATTCATTTTTAAATCAATTTTTATTTGAAAAATTCTATGAGAATTTAATTATTTTAATACAAAAATAAATAATTTATTGAATAATTAAATGTTTCTCAAAATTTAATTCTCATAAAGAATGTTATCAACTAATTTTTAAACAATTGAATTCTTTCAACGAATTTTAATAAAATGTAATAAATCATTCAAAAAATAATTGAAATTCTGCGATGAGTTTTATTAGTTTTTTATGGAAATAATTGAATTCCTAAAAATAATTGAATCCATGTAAAAAATTTAAAAAATTTTAAAAATAATTGCATTATTGCGAAGAAATTTATAAAAAATTTGGAAATAATAATTGAATTTACGTGAAATTGTTATTATTTATGAAAATAATTAAATGCTTGCGTAGAATTTTATCAAAATTTTTTTGAAATAATTGAATTCTTCTGGAAAATTTTATTAAAATAGTAAATATTGAAAATTATTGAATTGAGGAAATTTTTTGAAAATAATTGAAATTTTGTAAAGTGTTTTATTAAAATTTTTGAAAATAATTGAATTTTGGTAGAGAATTTGATTATTTATAGAAATAATTGAAATGATGACTAGAATTTATTTAAATTTTTTACAATAATTTAATTTTGGTAAAAAATTTGATTATTTTTTAAAATAATTGAAATTTTGACTAGAATTTATTTAAATTATTGAACTTATAATTGAATTTCTGCGATGAATTTTATTACTTTTGAAAATAATTGAATTTCTTGAATCGTTTTTGTAACTTTTCCAAAATTCAATTTTTTTAGTATTGTCAACGTAAATTTTTCATTAAATCAATTATTTTTAATAATTAATTGTATAGGTTAAAAAATTGAACTAATTTCAGAAGAATTTGAATTATTAAAATTTTTTTCTTCTAAAAATTGTATTTTTTTCCAGCACTGTTAATAAAAATCTCCGATTTTTTTTCTGAAAAGTGAGAAAATAATATATTTGAATCAAAACATAATTAATTTTGTTATACAGTCAACAAATTTTTTTTTTAAATTAAACATAATTTTGATTCAATACACAATAAGTTTGATTGAATAAAAATTTTGTTTAATTCAATTTTAAAATATGTTTAATTCAAACATTTTTTTTTAGTCGGCTACTTATTTTTGTATTAAAAAAAAAGTTTTTCTCAGTGAATTTCCTGACCTGTGGCAACTCTGAATTATTAAGTGAATAAAATATTAAAAACAACATATTAATCAAATGAAAAGAAAAACAAAAAATAAAAGATACTTTAACATTACAGACAGCGCGTGCACGCACGACAATTGAAATTAGTGCCGACAATGACAGTTCGACATGGCCCATCAAACGGTGTTACAATGTCTCCGATATCCTCCCGGATGGGTTAACCGCAGGAAGAAAAAGAAAAAAAAGAAGAAGAAGGAGAAGAAAAAGAAGAAAAAAAAAGGAAACGGAAGAAGTATTATTTATTCCCTTGATGAAATGAACAAGATATTGGCGTTGAGAGAAATAAAATGTGGGGGAGGTGACAGAGAGGGAAAGGCTTAAGAGCGAGAGAAGAACAATAAGAGAAAGGGAAAAGGATGGAGAGCAAGAAGAAGATGCAAAATGGACCACGCGGCAAGAAGTGGGGACCTGCATTAAAAGTTAACGGGGCCATCGTCTCAGCCCCAGAGCTATCTCGGACCTTGAAGAGTTAAGGTCATTGCTACGGTTATCGGTTCAGTGCAGCTGTTGTTTATGTAATTAATCTTGGCACGTGCTTCAGGCCCAGTTTGACGGTCAGTGCTTCTTGTGGGAACAATCAAAAATAATCAGAATGTATGTAAGATTCGGCAAGGTTTTTCCTTCTCTCAGTGATGAAAAAAAAGAAATTTTGATTTATTCGTGCGAGATGATAAAAAAAAATACAGACAATAGTCAGAAGCATTGTGATAATTGACCTAAGTAAACTGCAATTGTGGATTAAATTATTAAACTGAAGTTACCGACGCAGTTTTCGACGCGAGGAAAGAAGAATTTTCTTTAATTTTTGCTAAACAAATTTTTTTTTATTTTAATTATTGTTCGAAATTTTGAAACCGAGCCGGGGACGGAAAATAGTTTTTTTTGATTTAATTTCGTCGACTAAAACTTTGGTAACTTCAGTTTCGTATATTAAAATAAACTCGAATTGAATTGGATTAATGTTAAGTCCCCCTAAAGTTCCGAACGTTCAAACAAGAGCGAACTTTATTTATTTTTTCTTCAAATTCAAATCGTAAATTAAAAAAAAAAAATTCGTGAAGTTCACAACATTTATAATCAACGATTTCAGATGAAAAATATTTTTCTAAGCAAATTTTTATAAATTTTTGTATAGAAAATATTACGTTAAGTATTAACCGAGATATTATTAATTATTAACTATAATAATCGTCTTATTCTTTCATTCATTCTGTCCAAAGTTTGAAGTTAGTTTTTGTGTATGCATTTGTTTTTTTTTAATTATTTTTTTCTTTAAAAAATATATTGTTTGACAAATTGAAAAAATGCAGGTATTTTTTCATGACTTAGAATAAAACAATATTTGCTAACTGGAAATTAGAAAATATAAAAAAAATTATGATTAACAATTTATTATACGCTTGTTTCTGTAACAAATTTTCTTTGACTGATCTAAATAATGCAAATTTTTCTCCTTTTTATTTATATAAAAAATATGAGAAAATTGTTAAAAAATTATAATTAAAAAATAGGACATATACTCATCTTATGAATTATTTATATTTCTCAATAACAATATTGTTCACAAACTCATTCTTCTCTTTTGGAAAAAAAAGCTTTACATATTCTATTCTATTTGTCAATTACAAATTTTAATTGAAAATGAAATTAAAACTTTTTAAATTTTAAGAAAATAAAACAAAAAAATTTTATTAAAAAAAAAGGTTCTGTTACATTTATTTACGAATTTATTTAATTGTAAAATTATTCGAAAACATCAATAATTTTTTTTCAATAAATATTTAATCAATATCATTTTTTCATAGGAATTAGAAATTTCAAATTCAAATATTTTTAAATTCAATAACTTATAAGAATATTTTTATAAAACATGAAGACAGCGATTGCTCCGAGTCGAAGACTCGGAGTGATCGATTTCTTCATGTTTTATAATAATCAATGATGACCGAGTGATAAAATCATTGAATATTATTACAGTAACTATTTCAAAATTATTTCCATCATTTCACATCAATTATTATTTTCTATAATTTTTAATTATTTTCTGTAAAAATAATTGAAATTTTATATTATTTATAAAAATAATTGAATTATTGCGATTTTTTAAAAAATTTGCAAATAATTGAATTCATGAGAAATTTTTATTATTTATGAAAATAATTGAACTTTGAGGAAGAATTTTGTTATTTATAATGATAGTTGGGATTTTGACGAGAATTTTTTTTTTAAATTTGAAAGATAATTGAATTTTATGAGAAGAATTTTATCACTCTTGAAAATAATTTAATTTTTGTAATTTATTGTAATTTATCAAAAATTGGATTTTTTTAGTGTTTTCAACAAAAATTTAAATTACAATTGAATAATAATTTTCAAAAGAAATATTTGTGAACAAAAAATTTTATTCTTTTTAGTAGAAAAAATATTACTTTTTTTTTTTAATCGTTGACAATAAACTTTGTGAACTTCACTGACGTCTGGAAAAAAATTTTATTCAAATAAACGATTACAAATATTTTTTAAATACTGAAATTATTGGTTTAAATAGGAAAATTTTTGTTCTAAATATTTTCAAAAATTACTGTCTACAATAAAAAAAAAATTATTGCATTTTTTTAAAAACGAAATTAAACATTTAAAATCTTAATTTATTTTGTTTATACTTAGCGCAATAAAAATAGACACACAAATAAATATAAAAATATATACTGGATTTAAAATGAAAATTATTCGTTATTGATTTATAATGCAGACTAATTTTTTTAAATATTTATAATGACAAAAAATTTTCTTCATTTCACGTTAATGAATTTGACAACTTTTATAATCAATGATTTAGAAGAAAAAAATACTTTTCTATTTTCTTTTTGCATATTTTTGTACAAAAAATGTTTTAAATAATTTTCGATCAATAATTAATGAATAATTTCACCAAGAAAAATTTGTAAACAAAATATTTTATTTGTTCAAGTAATTTTACGTTCGTTACTAAATATTTTGTCAAATTAATTTTACGAGGCCTTTAAATTTAAAAATTAATTTTAATTAATCTTTAATTTGACAAAAAATGTTATTGATCTCGTCATGAAAATATTTTTTTTTAATTTTTGATCATAAACAACAATTGAATTTTACCGAAGACAATAATTGCAGCTTATTTTGATTAATTATAAATATTTTCTGATTACAAAATGAAAAATGTGATATTTTCGGAACTAAAAGAGTAAGTGACGCGAGAAAGAATTTTTTTTTTGTTTTTTTTTTAAGTAGCTTTTTTTATGCCCTTTTCTTAAGAGACGATATTAAACCGGTAAATTCGTGAGGTTACCGAGGGAGAAGAAATAACACTTGCTGCATCGTACAGAACAAAAATAAAAACACCAAGTGCGACGAAATCATTATTCTTGACTGATAACCGTGATAAATTTCCTTTTTTCTTTTATTGTCATGGAGTTTTCAACGGAATTTTTAGTCATGAAAAGTTTTATATTAAACAATTTTCAAGTAAAATGATGAGCGAATAAAAAAAACAGAGAAAGAGAGAAAAAAGTAGAAAAGGTAGAGAGAAAAAAGGACATTTTTTTCACTGCTCTTCTTTTTTTTCCCCTTTCCAAAAAAAAGGAAACAAAAAATAGAAAGTATACTTTTTTTGTCTATTTTTGTTCCTTATCAAAAAAAAGCAAAATAAGTGGAAAAAATAATTATTCAATATTTATCTTACTTTTTTCTTCCTTTTTTTAAATTCAAAAATTAGAGTTAAGAAAAAAATTGAAGATAATTAGGAAAAAATTGAAAAAAAATATTTGATATTAGAATTTTTTTCTAACGAGACAAAAAATTAATTTTTCTCTATCAAAATTAAATAACTTAAAATGTTTCTTGATTAAAAAAACGAATTTTCATTTTTTTTATTTTATTTTCTTTTATTTGACAAAATGCAAATTTCTTTTATTCGAACTTTTTTATATTTTCTTTTTATATTCGCAGAGAAATGAAAGTCTTCAAAAGAAATTGAATATAGACAGGAAAAACTTTTCTTTAACAAAATATTATTCAATATCCAGAAGAAGTTTCTTTATTTGTACAAGAAACAAAAATTTTTAATGTTCCATCAAAACAAGATTTTTGGGAAAATTTTCCAGTTTTTTTTTTAAGTAAAATCCAAATTTTCTTTATGTTTTTTTTAAATCAGAAAAAAGAATTTTTGAGAAAAAAAAAACTTTTAAAAAAAGATAGTTAAAAAATGAAAATCTCAAAAAAGCTTCAACTATAGAACAGGGATCAGTTTCTCTAGAATAGCGAAAGTTTTAACTGAAACAACTAAAAATTTCGCTAATATTGTGAAATTTGTAGCTGTTCCAGGTGAAATTTTTGTTCGCGACGAATAAACAAATAAATTAAAAATAATAATGATAATAATAGTAAAATAATAAATAGAAATAAATTACCAACAAAAAAAAAATAATAATAATAATAACAATAATAATAATAATAATAATAATAATAATAATAATAATAATAATAATAATAATAATAATAATAATAATAATAATAATAATAATATTTATAATAAAAATAATAATAATTTTAATAATAACTTTAATAATAAAAAGACAATAATAATAGTTAGTTAGTTAATAATATTAATCAATAATAATTAAACTTAATAATTAAAAATCGAAATCTAAATAAATAAATAAAAATAAAATTTTAAATACCAAAAAAAAACATAATTTGAACTTTAAAATAAAGAATATTAGGATTTTAGACGAAGAATGTATTAAAAAAGGAAAAGTAGCTAATAATAAAATACTGAAAATTTAGAAAGAAATAAAATAAACCCAAAACAAAATAAGCATAAAGTAAAAAAAAAATATTTTTTTAAAAAACAATAAATAAATTTTTGAATTGAGGGAAAATCATTTTCGAAATGATTAAAAATAATAATAAAATATAGGTATGTATTTTGTGAATAGAAAAAAATAAATTGCCGAAATAAAACAAAGAAAATAATAATATAATAATAAAAAAAAAAAATTTAAAATTTAAAAAAAATTATAAAAATTTGTTTAAAAATTTTTAAAAAATTAATTAATAAACATTTTGTTTCTTTCGTAAAGAAAAAAGAAACGTATAGGTTTAATACAGTCATCATTGAATGAATTATTCACGTGAACTTAAAATAAACAAAACGGAATATTTTTCCACTAGAATATGTGGTAAAGCCAAATATTTTTCTAAACTTAAACACTATGAAGTACCGCTTTAATTTGCCTTGCACTTAACGGAGTGTACAAACTGCACTGTTTGCAATTTATGGTTCGTATAATTATCGCCATTCCATATATATATATACACTCTGATTTCCGCAATTATTTATGAACTCTTTAACACAGTTACGTGAAAAATTTCATTTCAATTTAACATTTTATAAACGCCTAATTAACAGAATTCGCACTATATCCATATATTCGCCATATAAAGAAAAATTACTGTCCTGTCTTATAATAAAATTTTATCTATTTAGTAATATACGGGATTGAGCCCTAAAATAATAAAATTTAGGAAAAAATAAAAATTTTAATTAAACAATTTAATAGTTGAAATTAATTTTATTGAATAGCGTAATAGCACGCGGAATGCTGCATTCACATTCCTGGAATATTTTTTTTATGGGAAGCTTGGGAATCCAAACGAATCTTCTATTCATATTTTGAAAATATTAAAAGTATCGAATGTTTGGAATTTTCCTTTGGAATAATGTAGGAATTTCTCAGCAAATTATTATTATCGAAATATTTCACATCAGAATATTGCATTGGAATTTCATAAAAATATTTAAATTACAATTATTGATATGATAAGTTACTAATCAATCTTTACGCAATTTAAATAAATTCATTAATTTATTTTGAATTACATATACCTAATAGAAAAGTTAAAAATTTAAAAAGTAATATTTCTATGGAATATTTCTGTAATATTTTTTTTTTATTTATGAAAACAATTTAAATTTACAATACATAAAATTGAATGTATTTGAACAATTTTAACTTAATTTATTTTAATTTGCTTACGAAATTATAATTTATAATTTATAATTTATAATTTATAATTTATAATTTATAATTTATAATTTATAATTTATAATTTATAATTTATAATTTATAATTTATAATTTATAATTTATAATTTTTTTTAGAATTTATAATTTATTTAATGAACAATTTTACACAAAAATTCAAAAAATAATTAAATTTTATAAGATTTGCGTTTATTTTACTTTTTTTTATAAACAATTGAATTTTAAAAGATTTCAAATTGAAATTGAAGAAAATTTCCATCTTAGATAATTTTAATTGAACATTCTAATGTTAGTTTTTGAAAAATAATTGAAAATAATTTTATTAAAAATAATTTAATTCTCAAAGGAATTTCTCAAAAATTATTTTCAAAATACTGGATTTAGAAAAGAATTATAAGTAAAATTTTCGAAAATAATTGAATTCTAGAAGATTTACTTTTAGAATTTTAAAAATTGAAATTTCAAAAGGTTTCAAATTGAAATTTAAAAAAAATTGAATTTTAAATAATTTTAATTGAAAATTCTAAAGTTAATTTTTAAGAAATTTCAATTAAGAATATTTTGGTTTTGAAATCATTTTAATTGAAATTTTTAAAGAAGTTAGTTTTTGAAAAATTTTAATTGAAAATAATTGAATATTAAAAATAATTGAATTCTCAAAGAAATTTTTCAAAAATTATTTTAAAAATACTGGATTTAGAAAGGAATCTTAAATAAAATTTTCAAAAATAATTGAATTCTAAAAGATTTGCTTTTGGAATTTTTAAGATGGAATTAAATTTCAAAAAGTTTCAAATTGAAATTTAAAAAAATTGAATTTTAAATAATTTTAATTGAAAATTCTAAAGTTAATTTTTAAAAAATTCCAATTAAGAATATTTTAATTAAAAGTAATTGATTTAGAACATTTTTTAGAAAATTTGGTTTTGAAATCATTTTAATTAAAATTTTTAAAGAAATTAGTTTTTAAAAATTTTTTATGTGAATTTAATTTAATTACCTACAAATAATTGATTTAAAAAAAATTTTTGAAGTTAAAAATGTCGAAAATAATTAATTTTTAGAAAAATTTGCATTTACGTTTTTTAAATATATTTTAATTTGCAATTTTAGAAAATTTGGTTTTGAAATAATTTTAATTGTTTCTAGAGAAAGTTAGTTTTTGAAAAATTTTTGCATAATTGAAAATAATTTAATTAAAAATATTTTTGAATTCTCAAAGAACTTTCTCAAAAATTATTAAAAAATAATGGATAAAAAAATAAATTTTACATAAAAATTCTAAAAATAATTGAATTTTAGAAGAATTGACTTTACAATTTTTAAATATAATTGAATTTCAAAAGGTTTCAATTTGCAATTTTAAAAAATTCAATTTTCAAATAATTTTAATTAAAATTTCTAAAGAGAGTTATTTTTTGAAAAATTTTAATTAAAAATATTTTTAGATTAAAAGTATAATTGAATTTTCAAAGCATTTTTTCAAAAATTATTAAAAATAATTGATTTAAAACATAATTTTTGTTAAAAATAAAAATTCTAAAGAATAATTGAATTGAAATCATGAACATAATTCTATGGAAGTTTACAAAAAGCAATAATTAAAAATTCTTGAATTTCAAAACGTGTGAAATTAAAATTTTTCGAAAATCTAAAAATTTTCGTGAATTTTACATAACGATTCAGAATATAATTTAATTTTTCACGAATTGCTTTTACAATAATCTTCGAATATAATTGAATTTCAAAATATTTAAATTTAAATTTGCAATTTTAGAAAATTTAGTTTTCAAATAATTTTATAATTAAAATTTCTAAAGAAAGTTATTTTTTGAAAAATTTTAATTGAAAATATTTTAATTAAAAATATAATTTAATTTTCAAAGAACTTTCACAAATATGATTAAAAATTATTGATATAAAAAATAATTTTCGTAAAAAATTCTATAAAGGGTAATTGAACTAAAATTATGAAAATAATTCTGTAGAAGTTTACAATAGTAATTCTAAAAAATTATTGAATTTTAAAATTTTTGAAAACTCTAATCCGGAATTAATTTTGGGAGTAAATCGGATTATTCTTTATTGTCAGGGAAAAAATTAAAATTCTGTCTGAATAGATATTAAGGAAAGGTCAGGGAACGACAAAAATTAATTGTTATAGCAAACCTGTTATGATAATTAATATTGTAATTTAAATAATAATTATTGATATTACCATTATTTTCATTTAAATTTAAATATTTAATATTTTATTTTAATTTAAAAAATTATTTATTTAATTAATTTAATTTAATTTTTATTTAATTAATTTTTTAATTTTCTTTTAGATATTTAACTAATACTGAAAGTTTACTTCTTAAGCTCCAAAATCCTTATCGGACATTATTATTATAAACATAAATAATAATAAATAAAAAAATAAAATAATAATAAATAAATAATTTTTGCAGATGGCGTCGTCAAAAGGAGCACTCTATCTGCTTCTAATAGCCCTCACTTTGAATCTTTCGCTCGGCAGTACGAAATATTACGTGAAATTGCGAAATGATCCGTCGGATGCGTATAAAATAAAAAACCCCTACGATCTTCGTGTTCTCCATTATCCACTTGGTGGTGGGAGAGTGTCACTCCAAGATGACATTGGAGCGAGAATTCAAGACGAGGATCAATCAGCGTCCATGGATTTCGGTCCGAAATTGGAGAGAAGAAATTCTTTCGAAGAATCCTCCACCTTCAATCCCGATGTACTCAATAAATTTTTGGAAGAGTACGCGAGTAAAATAAAAAGCACCACCGAGAGAAATTATAAATATCCATTTAGAGTGATGCCCGACGAGAAGCAGGCGAATTTTGGCACGAATATCGATGGACCACTCGAGAAGGAAGTCATCTCGTCGGAAATTGTCGTCAATTTAAACACATCGCAGGGGGTTAGAATTCAGTTCTTTTTACTTTATCGATGAAATGTTATAGCAAAAATATTTTTTGTTTTTTATTTTTTTCGTTCTTTTTAGTTTCTTTTTAGTATTTTCAGTATTTTTCCATTTTTTTGAATTTTTTTGTTTCTTTAGTTCTTTTTTGGTATTTTTTTTCAGTATTTTTTAGTAATTCTTAAGTTATTTAGTTTTCTCAGTTCTTTTAGTATTTGTTACCTTTTATTTTCTTTTTAATATTTTTTATTTGTATTATTTTTATTTTTTTTTATTTTATACTTTTTATTTGTCAATTCTTTTTATAGTTTCTTTTTAGTACTTTCAGTATTTTTTAGTTTTCTTAGTTCTTTCAGTTTTTTAGTTTTTTAATTTCTTTCAGTATTTTCTAGTCTTCTTTCAGTTTTTTAGCTCTTTTTAGTATTTTTTAGTATTTTTTTAGTATGTTTTTAGTATTTCATAAGTTGTTTAGTTTTCTAATTTCTTTCAGTATTTTCTAGTTTTCTTAGTTCTTTCAGTTTTTAATTCTTTTTAGTATTTTTTTAATATTTCTTAAATTGTACAGTTTTTAATTTCTTTCAGTATTTTCTAGTTTTCTTAGTTCTTTTAAAATTATTTATTACTTTTTATATTCTTTTCAGTATTTTTTGTTTTCTAGTTCTTATATTTATACTTTATTTATAGTACTTCCAGTATTTTTAGTTTTCTTAGTTGTTTCAGTTTTTTAGTTTTTTTTAGCATTTTTTTGGTTTTTTTGTTTCCTTAATTCTTTTTTGATATCTTTTTAACATTTTTGAGTTCTTTTTTGGTTCTTGTTAATTCTTCTTAGTTTCTTTTAATACTTGTTCCTTTTTGTTTTCTTTTTATTTACTTTTTAGTAATTTTTAGTATTTTTTGTTTTTCAGTTTTTATTTTTATATTTTCTTTTTAGTACTTTTAGTATTTTTAGTTTTCTTAGTTTTATTTATATTCTTTTTAGATTTTTTTCTAGAATTTTTCTCAATTTGTTTATTTTTTTCAGTTCTTTCATTATTTTCTAGTATTTATTTAGTTCTTTCTAATTCTTCTTAGTTTCTTTAAGTATTTGTTTATTTATATTTCCATTTTAATTTTTTTTTTTTTTTAGTTTCTTTTTTAGTCGTTTATTATTTTTTTAGTTTTCTTTGTACCTTCAGTTTATTTAGTTCTTTTTAATTCCTTTTTGGTTTCTTTTTTGTAATTTTAGTGGTAGGTGGTCACTTTTTTAAAAAATATTTTCTAATTCTTTTTTTCTAAAAAAAAAACCCAATACTTATGAAATTTGTTTTCTAATACAAGTTTTTCCTACAATTTTTGATTTGTAAAAAAAGTTTTTCTAAAAAGTTATGATTTCTAATATTTATTTTCCTGAAATTTGTGAAATTCCATAATTTTATGAAAAGTTAGAAAATTGTTAGGAAATAGAAACTTTTTGCCTATTTTTTGCTTCTCAATCACAATTATTCTATATTCTGTTCACAAAATTATGAGTTTCTTTTTGAAAAAGAAGAAAATTTTTTACAAAATTCCTATTTCTTATCACAATTTTTTAACAAAATTCTGTTCTTCTTTCAAAAATAAAGAAATAATAATTTGCATCCATTTTTATACAAAAATTTCCAAAATTAAAATATTTATAAAACATTTTTTTTTAGAAAGCTTTAAAGAGAGGAAAAAAATTCCTATAATTACTATTTGTTAATTACGATTTTTAACTAGAGTATTTTATAATTTTCTTAAAAAATTTGCATAATTTCTATTTTTTTACAATTTTTTAACGAAATCTCAAATATTTTTTTTAATGAATTAAAAAATTTGTATCAATTTTATTTTTTCATCATACATCTATTGATTTTCATTACCAAAATTAAATATTTTTAGAAAAAATAATAAATAAATTTGAAAATTATCATTATTAGAAAAATAAATTTTTAGAAAATGACCTTTATTAGAAGCAAGAAATTTAGAAAATCACCTTCATTAGAAAAACGTTGTTTAGAAATTCACCTCCTAAAAAAAAGTTTCAGAAAATAAAAAATTAGAAAATACGTTTTCTTTTTTTTTAGTTTAATTTTTTTAGTTTTTTAGTTTTAGTTTCTATTTACCTTTTTTTAAAAGTATTTTTTTAGTATTTATTAAGTTGTTTAGTTTTCTCAGCTCTTACAATTTCTTTATATTTTCTTTTTAGTTCCTTTTTGGTTCTTTTTAATTCTTCTAAGTTTCTTTTAATATTTGTTCCTTTTTGTTTTCTTTTTATTTCCTTTTCAGTAAATTTTAGAATTTTTTTTTATAAGTTCTATTTGTAGTTTTTTTAGTACATTTAGTATTTTTAGTTTTCTTAGTTTTATTTATATTCTTTTTAGAATTTTTTATAGTATTTCTTAATTTCTTTAGTTTTTCAGTTCTTTCATTATTTTCCAGTATTTATTTAATTTTTTTTAATTCTTCTTAATTTCTTTAAGTATTTGTTTTTTAGTTTTTTTTTTAGTTTTAGTTTCTTTTTACCTTTTTAAAAATATTTTTAACTATTTATTATAAGTTGTTTAGTTTTCTCAGTTCTTTAAATTTTTTTCTACTTTCTTTTTAGTTCCTTTTTGGTTTCTTCTTAGTAATATTTTTGTTCCCTTTTGTTATTCAGTTCCTTTTTTGTTTTTCAGTTCCTTTTTCCTTTCTTTTTTTAGTACTTTCAGTATTTTTCAGTTTTCTTACTACTTTCAGTTTTTCAGTTGTTTTTAGTTCCTTTTTGCTTTCCGTTTAGTAGTTTTAAGTTTCATTTTATTTCCTTTTTAGTTTCATTTTATTTTCTTTTTAGTTTCATTTTATTTCCATTTTGGTTTTTATTTTAGTATTTTTTTACTTTCTTTTTAGTATTCTTTATTTTTTTTTGTTTTCTAATTTTTTTTTTTTTTCTAATTTTTTTTTTGTTTTCTAATTTTTTTTTTAAGTTTAAATATAGACCGGCAGGTCTAAATATAGACAAACATTTATACTAATATTTTTTTGAAGGATAATTCCAAAGTTGTTTATTTATTATAATGACTCGTTATTTTTTTTGCAGCAGCAGCAGCAGTTTAGCGATTTGAACGATACCTCGAAGAGAAACAGTTACTGGAGTGGTAGTAATTCTCACGACGACAGAAATGGATGGGTGACTCTGGATGCAGTTCCCTGGTCAAAGAGCAAAATTTCTAAATGGCAAGCTAATAATCCCACTTCACAACGGCCGTGGCCTGACTCTAAACCTTGGGACAAGCCGAATAGCGGCAAACCGTGGCCATCTGATTACACGTCCAGGCCAACATACGAAAACAATAAGCCATGGTGCGTACAAAAATAAGGAAAAATTTTTACAACTTTAGTTCAAATATTTTCAAACTCAACGTACGAAAAATTCTACTCAATTTTCTTTTCAAAACTAAACGTACAAAAATCCATTAAATTAATCAAAGAAAATTCCTTAATAATACTTCATTAAATTAATCAAAGAAAATATTTATGGATTTATTTCCATTTATGGAAATAAATCCATAAATATTTTCTTTGATTAATTTAATGAAGTATTAAAAGAATTTTTTAGAAATTAAAATAAAAAATAAATTAATTGTCATAAAAATATAAAGTAAAATTAAAAAAAAAATTCTCAACAGGTTGAAGCCAAACTGGCAGGAGCAATCAGGTGAAAAACCCTGGCTGTCAGATCGACCAAAACCGAGTCAATCGATGAGGCCCTACATCGACAGATACGAGGAGAATCCCGAACAGGCGCAAACTTGGCCACCAGAAAATAATAATAACAACAAACCCTCGTGGAATCGTTATCCGGACAAATATCGACCGACTGGCGACATTATCACCGACGAGAGACCCTCGAATTTCCCCAGCAATTGGGATCGACCGCAAATGTCAAAGCCAAGTTACACATTCCCCGACAGGTTCACAATTAAAAATGAAGAGGACAATTGGAAGACACAAAACTATAACGATCGCCACGATAAATATCGACCGAGTGATTCAAATGATAGGCCACATTTCTCACAGTATCAATATCTAAATGAACGTCCAGCGAATCATCCGGCGAGTGGCGATGGCGAATGGATTTTGCTGTCGACAAATCGTGGATACTCGAAATCGCGTCAGAGATCAATTAAAATTGATTCAATTAAACCGGAGGGTCTGACAATTGTCAATGGAACGAAAATACAGAATTCGAAAGTCGATGAAAATGATCCGCCTGTTCCTGTGATGACTTCGAAACGACAGGTGAGATGAGTTTTTTTTTGTTTATTTTCTTTCCTTGATGATTTTAATTCACGTGTTTTTTTTTTTAGACTTAAGAATCCAAATTGAAAGGCAATTTTAGTTGAAACTAGTTTAGGTTTTATTTATTTTTTTTTATTTTATTTATAGAATTTTAATTTTGCAATTTATTTTCTAGGCGCACTTTATTAATTTCTTTGCACTGACTCTGAGACTTTAAAGTCTCTAAGCGTTTTTTTTACCTTTTTTGTAATTTATTACACACCCAAAAAAAAAAATAGGTTTTGTTGTTTTTAAAAACGACTTTTTTTCCCAAAAAAGAGATTTTTTTTTCTCTTTATTACAATAATGTCTACAAAAATTATTAAATTTAAAAAAAAAAATGTTCGTAAATAACAAAAAACGGAAAAAATTCTCTTTTCGGGTAAAAAATTAATTTTTAGAAACAAAATCCCTTTTTTAGAAGAAAAGATAATTTTAGGAAACTACAAAATTTTTTCTGGAAAACCTTTAATTATTTTAAATAATTCTTATTGAATCAAAAACATCATTTTTTGAATTAAAAGAATCAAGATCATTTTGTTGTTTCCAAAAAATACTTTTCTCTCCAAAAAAAGTTTTTTTTACAAAAGAGAGAATTTTTTCCCTTATTTTTGTTGTTTCCAAAATTTTTATTCAAAATAGGCCAATTAAAAATCCTAATTAAATGAAAATAAATTCAATGAGGATTTTTTAAAATTAAAAACAGATTCTTTGGAAAATATTTTGTTTTCAAAAATTTGCCTTTCCTCCCAAATAAAACAATTTATTTTTCTTTATAAAAAAGATCATTTTTTCCCTTGTTTTTGAAAATTTCCTTTCTTGTGAAAAAAAATAATTTTTATAGAAAAAAAAAGTGGAAAAATAATCCCTTTTTGAGGAAAAAGGTAATTTTTCGAATCATCAAAAGTTTTTTTGGAAAATTTTACTTAATTTTAAAAAATCCTATGTTCCTAAAGTTTTAAAAGTTCAAATGAATAACAATATTTTTTTACTTCTTTTAATTTACATTTTTTTAAATAAAAAATTATTTTTTATATCAAAAAATTGACTCTTAACTAAGTAAATTAATTTTAATTTTGAAAGTAAGATTTTGAAAGATCTGAAAGATTTTCAAATGTAAGATTAATTTTTAAGATGAAAATTAAAATAAAATATGATTGAATATTTCACATAATTTTTGTTGCATTGAATCAGATAATATAGCAATTAAGGTGTATCTAATTAATTTTTTAAATTATTATTATTTTAATATTTTAGACTGAATAAGGTTGAAATTTCACGCACTATTTAAATAATCAGTGAAGCTGAGAATAAATAAACAAATTTTTTTATTGCACTTAAAAATTATTAGCTAGAAAATAAGAAATAAAATGAAGAACAATAAATAATAAGAATTAACAAAAAAATTTAATGAATAGCAAAGAATAATTATAAATACTCGTGTTCTTTAATTTATTTGAATTTAAAAAAAAATTTGTTTCATTTTTTTTTAATTTAAACAATTTTTTTTTTTTTACTTAAATGCTGAAAAAAAATTTAAATAATGCTTGAAATTTCAACATTATTGCCAGCATGTTTGAAAAGTGACACATTGCAAGTGACTTGTTCCGTGAATCAATGTCTGATAAAAAACTGCTTTTTCTACTGAACAACTCACGTCTGAAAAGCCAATCAGTAGAAATGGAAAGTAAGCGTCAGACATCGCACATTTTATTCTCTAAAAAGATTTTTTTTATATTTTCATCCAATTTTGGCTTTGAATACATAAATTAATTTTTATTTTCAGTTTTATTATTATTATTATCATTAGATAAATAAATTATAGTAAACATAAAGTAATATGTCTGACTATAGCATTTCTTTACTACTTAAATTCATTATACAGCTAAAATTAACTATTTATCGATTTAAACGAAAAAAACGAATAAAGTAACTTTTACTACCCCAACAGCACAAAATACTCCGCTCACATTCCAAAAATATTTAATTCGAACCTTGGGAATATTTTTCTAGAATATTCCATTCTAGGAATATTAAAATGTCGCCTACCCTTGGAATGTTCCTTTTAAATAACATTCCATAAAAAATAGGATTATTCCATAAGAATATTGTAGGAATATTCCATTGGAATATTACAGGAATATTCCATTGGAATTTTGTAAAAAATATTTTTTTTATTACCCCTTTTATTAATATATTAATCAATTTTCACCTATATTTCAATAAATGTGTCAATTCATTCTAAAATGAAAATGCTCCTGTAATATTACAATGGAATATTTTTACTATAATCCAATTACAATATTCCTGCAATATTCCAATGAAATATTTTTACTATATTCCAATGGAATATTTCTACATTATTTTAAAGAAATATTCCTATGGTCGAACATTTGAATATTTCTAAAATGTTACTGGAATATTTATTTGGAATATTCTCAACATTCCAATGGAATATTTTCCACTAAATAGAATTTTAAAAAAATTTATTTTAAATTGGAAAAATTGTAAATTTAAATTCTGATATTACAGTGGATAGTGGAATATTCCCATAATTCAATAACATATTCCTACTATATTCCAGTTTCAATGAATATTCCCTGCAATTTTTACGGAGGAATATTCCAAAGGTTGGTCATTTTAATATTAAAAAAAAATTTTTTAAATTAAAGAAAAAACAATCAATCAAAAAAAAATATTCCTACTATATTCTAATTACAATTTTGCAATTGTATATTCCTGAAATTTTTCCAGAGGAATATTCCAAAGGTTTGACATTTTAATATTTAAAAAAATAAAAAAAAACAAAAAAAATAAAAAAAATAAAAAAAACAAAAAAAATAAGAAAAATTAAAAAAAATAAAATAGAGAAAATAAAAATAAATAATCAAAGTAGTAAAAACACATTATAGTCAGACATGTGAAATTACATATAAACGCAAGAAATAACAATTTTCTCACGCAAAAAATGAAAATATCAACAACCAAAAAAAAAAACATTGAATCACGGAAAGTCAATTTTGATATAATTTTTAACATTTTCAAGCCAACGCAAGAACCTGACTAACAATTTCCTCTCCGATTGAAAATACATTAATAAATATGTAAAAAAGAGTAATTTTCTCTATAAGAAAAAAATAAAAAAAAAAACTAAAATACACACCTAAAACTGAAATAAAAATTTCATCTCTCCAGGATGAATCCTCTATCTAAGTTCTTGCGTTGAAGTGCAGAATCGTTGCCTGCCGCTGAATAAGTAAAAAAAAAAAATGAAGGACTGATGCTTGGAGACGTTAAACTTTGTTTGTGTCCAGATTACCGTTGGAAAAAAATAGAAATTTTTAAAGCTTCAACGTTCGCAGGTAAGATTAACGGTACTCCCATCGGTGAATGGTACGAATACAACCACATCGCACGGTGGACTCCTTGAAGTTGAACGTACCTTCAAAACCGTTGATCAAAGTCAAAAGGAATATGAAAATAATCGCAAGAGCAAACTGCAGCAATCATTATTCGCAAAAAGACCAATTAGAAATACAATTAATGCTGGAAATCCTTCCAATTCGGCCATATTAGCAGCCGTGGGCGCCGGTATGCTGCCAGCAACCATGGCCATGATGATTCCAATGATGTTAGGGAGAAGGAAAAAACGCGATTTACAAAATAATAGCCATTTGGAGCAGCACACAATGACGAAGGCTTTTTATCTCGATCGACATCTTATGGACAAGCACTACGACCAAAGAACTAAGCTACTGAGGTTTTAGATATTTTTTTAGATACTATTTTATTTTTTATTTATTGGCTTTTGGGGAGATTTCATTTATTATTGAAAAAACAATTTGTGATTTACATGAGATTCACAAGTTTTGAATGTTCAAATGAAGGAAACATTTTTTCATCAACTACTTTTTTTTGTCTTATTAAAAAAAAAATTGAAAACTAAAATTTAATATTTAGAAACTATTAATTTTTTTATTTTACAAAAAAAATATATTCTAATAAAATTTTAGTTTGAATGAAAATAAATCCGTTCATTTGAACGTTCAGAACTTTAGGAAAGGTGATTTCCTAAGAAAGTGAATTTCATCCTTTTTTTTAAAGGAGATCTAATATAATTTTTTTTATACTCAATTGCTGAAACAAATTTATTTATTTCAATATAATTAGTTACTTGAATATTGTGAAAGAAATAATTATTTATATGTGAATTATTTAAGAATAATAAATATTTATTAATAAATAGTAATGGAAATTTATTAAATAAATTAAAAAGATAAATAAAAGATCAATAAGCATTTATTTGTATTTTTTAACAATTTTTTCGTTAATTTAAAAATGTTCATTATGAATGTTCATTCGCAATTTTTCATTTAGAAATTAATAAATAAAAACAATAAATTATTATTTACAAAACCCGCAGAAAAAAAATATTTGACTCAAAGCAGATTAAACTTTTTATTTATTGCAAATAAATTTTATTCTATTCAAATAAAATATTTTTTTTTATAAAATATTTCTTTGAATGTAAATACTAATAATAAATACTAATTTATAAATTAATAAATAATAATAAAAAAATTATTTTAAATTGTATTTATTAAAGAATATTTATTTGCAACAATATTTATTCATTCAAATCAAAATTTCGTTTATTTATAAATTGATAAAAATAGTAAATTCTGGCAATAAATAATTAAAATATTAATATTTATTTATAAACTAATGAATATTAATAATAGATATTCATTAATTTATAACAGAATTTATTGTAAATATCTACGAAACAAATAAAATTATTTGTTATTTATTAATTGATAAATGCTAATAATAAATGTTTATCAAACAATATTTATAATAAATTTTTATTTTATAAATTAATGAATATTCATAATAAATATTAAATGTCAAGAAATTTATCAATCCTCCAAGTCAAATATTAAAAAATAAAAACTCAATTTAATTTATTCAGTTTATTCATAATAAATGTTTATTTGTATTTAAAAGAGTTTTGTTATTTATTAATTGATAAACATTAGTAATAATTAATAAATACTTATTTATAGTAAAGAATTATTTTATAACACAATTAAAAAAAAATATTTAAATATAAATTAAATTAATATAAAATATTTAGAAATATTTCAGAAACAAAATGTGAGTCAAAATTTTACTACCAATAATTATTATTGTCCTATTTTTCATTTATTGTTAATTTTCAAATTGTAATTAAAATTCAGAGAGTTCGTTTTAAATGCAATAATAAAAATTTGTAAATTATATTAAAAAAATTTTTAGCGACTCATTGTAAATAGTTATTAGTAACCAATTATTTTGAAGAAATTCAATTTGTTTTCAGTGGAAAAAAAATTAAATTTTATTAAATATTTTCTACAATTATTGTCGACAAATTTATTTAATAGTAAAAATGTGAATTTATCGCTCAGCGATAATTATAATAATAAAGATGGTAACATCGATTAATTTATTGAATTTTAGAATTAAATATAATTTTTGTAAACGAAACTTTTAAATAAAAAAAAATTTTCATATTCACATTTCACAACCATTTCATTGTAAATTAATATTTGCGGTGAAATATAATCAAAATAGAAAATTGTAAAGAAATAATTTTTTATCTAAAAGTACGATAGCTTTTTGGTGAAATGTCTGAAAAATAAGTATTAAACTTTCAATCTTTCTCAATAGTTTTTATAATTAAAAATTTTGAAAAACAAACTTTTCAGAAATTATGCAGTTGGAAAAAAATTTCATAAAATTGGTAAATCGTTTTGTAGTCAATTTTTTTTTTTTATTTTTTAAAAAGCAAAATATGATTTAAAAGTAAAAATTCTTTATTGAATAAAATAAAGATTGCAAAATAAATAAAATCAGAAACCTTTTAATTATTATATTGTTTATTGATTTTATTATACAATTTGTAATTCGCTTTGTAGCTAAATTTAATTATTAAAACTTGAAAAATTATTAAAATTATAAATAATATTTATTGATTTTAATTTAATGTATTTTCTGAATAGTTTCCTATACCAATGAAACTTTTTTCTGACTGAAAATTATACAATACTTATTATACAATACTTATTTAATTATTTACTTCCATAGGTTAATGAACATAATTAAAATTTTTTTTTTCTTTTATCAGTAAAAAATAAATTATCAGAACAACATAAGAGATTAGATTGTTAAGCGTACTTAGTAATTTATTAATATAATAGTATATGAACTAGTTAATAAGGTATCTTAATGGGTGATATTTTTTTATGAATGCTTAATTAACTCATGTAATGAATATTCACTTGGTAATATTTGCTTCTATTCTCGATTATTAACTAATTAATATAATTAGTTTATTTAATTAATTAACTCACTCAGTTAATTAATAAACAGAATTTTTTCTAATTTTACATAAAGTCAATATTTTATGTTAATTAGAAAATCGATAAAAATTTATACTTTTAATAAAAAAATAAATACAAAATAAACACAAAATAAATAAAAATTCTATAAAATGCTTTTTGTAAAAGAATTTCGAAAAAAAATTACCAAGAAAATGTAAGAAACAATTACATAGAAAATAGTACATTTTCACTTAATTCCTAACAAACTTATTGTTTATTTATTTTTTACTGACAGGCTGATTTGTTATTAATATTACTTAAAATAAACATTATTGTGTACTTTTTATCATATTTTATATTATATAAATAAAATTTTAAAAAAATAATTTGTATGATACAAATAATTGCGACAACGAAAAGAATACAATATTTACTTCTCAATGATAAAAAAATGTTATTTTATTGTTAACGTTTATTTACACATTATATAGTTCGTTATAACTTATTTATAAATATATACTATAATTATTTATTTATAAACTACATACTTGTTTTGTATACTTTACAATAAATCATTCATTCCTTCGATCTCTTCGATTGATAAGAAATTTTTCCATTTCTTCATTATATTTATTCAATCACTAATTTTTCTACTAATATTATTATTTAGAAAAAAGCCTTAAAAATTGTTTAAATTTTAGAGAGCTGACAAAGTTTTATAATCTAATAGCAATACTGATATTATTTTTTTTTCTATTTTTTTCCTGGCGTTAATTTATTTGATTGTATAAAACTTTTTATTTTTCATTTAAAAAATTAAGAAACAAAAAATATAGAACTAGATGAAAATATAGAAAAAAAATCACAGAAAATTGTAATAAGTGGAAGATTAAAATTAAAATTTTTTAAAAATACAATGTTTCTAATTTCTATAAAAAAAAAAATTTTCTAAATACATTTTCTTTTTTTTTACTTTTTTTCTGTTCTTTAGAAATAATTGTTTTAAATAAAAGAAATCATTTCTTTCAGTCCTTAATTCAGTGATTAAATTATTCGAATTTTTTAATTACACTTTATTCTACTGTATAAACTAATTTTTTAAAATTGAAAATTAGTTTTTTAATTGAAATCAAGTTTTTTTAAAATTTAAATTCAGCGTTTCTAATTAACTTTCATTCAGTTTGGTATATAATTAAATTTCGTTCAAAGCGCTTTTCGATAAAATATAAAAATTTGAATTGCAATATTTTTTTAAAACAAAAATCGAGTCAATTCGGAATTAGATGGTAGTTAATTATTACAAATTAACTATTATTTAAATTTCAGTTAAACATTTTCGCAAAATTACAAAAATTGGCAAATTATTTTAACTGTAATTTACTCTCACAACATCTATAATTGCAGCAATATTGATGAAATTCGAAATATTGAAAAATAGTGAAAAATTTATTTTTATAGTAAATTAATGTTATGGTAGAAATTTAGAATAGAGAGACAATTTTGTAATGTTGCAAATATTGCTGCAAATTTAGATACTCATTGATTATCTATAACCGTAAAAAATGTACATTTTATAAATCCAACCAGCACGTAATATTACTTGTAATGTCAATATTATTGCTTGTAATATTACTTGTAATGTCAATAATATTGTAAAATTTTTCGAAACCATCAATAGTTTTAATTAAAATAAATATTTAATCATTATTATTTTTCCAAGATTTAAGATTTTCAAAAATTTCAAATTCATTTAAAAATCAATTTTTATTAAAAAATTCTACGAGAATTCAATTATTTAAATAAAAAAATGAATGATTTATAGAATTATTGAATGTTTCTCAAAAAAAATGAATTCTCATAAAGCATTTTATCAACGAATTTTTAAAAAATTATATTCTTTTGACAAATTTTAATAAATTTTTTAAAAATAATTACATTTTTCGAGAAATTTGATTAAAATTGTATTAAAAATAATTGAAATCCAGCATTGAGTCTTATTATTTATGAAAAGAATTGAATTCCCAAAAAGAAATTTTATTATTTATAGAAGTAAGTGAATTCTTGTAAAAAATATTATTTATAAAAATAACTAAATTATTGTGAAGAAATTTATAAAAAATTCAAAAATAATAATTTAATTCCGTGAAATTTTTATTATTTATGAAAATAATTAAATGTTTGCGTAGAATGTTATTAAAATTTCTAAAAATAATTGAATTGTTTCGAAAAATTTTATTAAAATTGAATTAAAAATAATTGAATTCCTGAGAAGAAGTATATTATCTATGAAAATATTTAAATTTTATTGAAATTTTTAAAAATAATTTAATTTCTGCGAAGAATTTCATTATTTGAGAAAATAATTGAATTCTTATGAAGAATTTTATCAAAAGTTTGGAAAATAAATGCATTTTTTTGAGAAATCTTATTAAAATTGTATTCAAAATAATTGAATTGCTGCGAAGAATTTTATAATTTATGAAAGTAATTAAATCCCTGTAAAAAATATTATTTACAAAAATAACTAAATTATTGCGAAGAAATTTATAAAAAATTCAAAAATAATTTAATTCTGTGAAATTTTTATTATTTATGAAAATAATTAAATGTTTACGTAGAATGTTATTAAATTTTTTTTTTTTAAATAATTGAATTCTTTTGTGAAGTTTTTGAAAATAACTGAAATTTTGCCAAGAATTTTATTAAAATTTTTGAAAATAATTGAAATTTTGACAAGAATTTGAAAATTTTTTAAAAATAATAATTGAATTTCTATGATAAATTTTATTGCTTTTTATAATAATTAAATTTCTGCAATAATTTCTAACTTCTCAAAAATTCAATTCTTTTTTAGTTTTTTCTAACTGTTTTTAATAATTAATTAAATATGTATAAAAAAAAGGAATTAATTTCAGAAAAATTTGAATTATTATAATTTTTTAATAATCTAAGTTCTTAAAACCTTCTAATTAAACTAATTCGAAATTGAAATTTTCTAAAATTTGAAATTGAAACCTTTCAAAGTTCATATATTTATGAAAATTGTAAGCAACTCTTTTAAAATTCAATTAATTTTGAAATAATTAAGTTAAATTAATAATTATTCCTTAAATAATTAATAATTAATAATTAATATTTTTATGAGAGTTCTTCAAGAATTAAGTTATTTAATGTTTCTAAAAGAATCATTCCATTGAATATTCCTAAAATGTCAATAGAATATTTATTTTGTTATATTCCCAATATTCCAATAGAATATTTCAGGGACGTGCAATTTCTTCCTAATAGTTTCAAATAAATTTTTTTTCTGATACTTTGATATTGTAATGTTACTAACATTACTTGTAATATTACAAACATTACTTGTGATATTACTTGCATTAATACAGCAATATTAATTGCTAGTTGAAAATGAACAGAAAACCTGATTAATCAGACATAATTCCCTTTGACTTTAAACAAAAAAAATATCATCATTCCTCTCCATTAAATCTTTTTTGCACATGCCCCAAATATCTCGCAAAACCCTCACTGGCATGTTTCAAGAGCGTCAAACCCAATTTAATTTTAATCTCCGCAATTTTCTTCACAATCGAAAAAATACTAAATCCCTCATTCTCTGGAACTTTCGGCTTCTCAGTCGTCACCTCATCATTGAACCAATCCTCAGTCGTTGTCTCCTCGTTCTTAAAATGAGTAGTACTCTTCATTTTAGTCGTCGTATCAATCGCTTCAATTTTCACCGTCGTCAAGTGTTTCACAGCTGGGAAACTAGTCGACAACATTGCTCTCTTTGTTGTACTCTCCGAATGTTGAATTTCATTCTCCGAAAGATCCTCCTCGAGTTTCTTTTTCAGAATCTCGTCTTTTGATTTATCATTGTCGACAACAACCTTCGTCGTCTTCTTTTCATCTTCATTCGGTAGGGCCGAGTCGATAATGTCGAAAATTTCGTTACTCAAAGGCACCTCCTCCTCTTGGTGCTCCTTCTCAATTTCTGTCTTTGTCGGTATCAGTTGAATAACCGAGTCTCTTTTAATTTTTCCCGAGGGGTTCGATCTTCTCAGTCGTAGTAATCTAGGTCCGTGCTCAACCGCAACGGCAGTTGGTGTAATTTCAATTTCTTCATACACCACATCTTTGCTGCGAATCGGTTCATTTTGCAGATTTGCCGTATAGGCCTGGGGGATATTCACCGAATTTTTCGGAAAATTAAAAGTCTGGGCCATTTGTTGTTCGAATTTTGTCTGCTCCGTGTTTATTTGCTTCGAAGTGTCATAGTCCGCTCGTTTGCTCGCTGTCGGTACTGCCTTCTCCTCGGGACTGTACTCTTTGGGTATGTTACCGACGACGAACTGCCGATTGCCGTTCACTTCCTTGCCGACGGTGAAATCCGATTTCTGCCGCTCGTAGTAATTGGGAGTTGTCGGTAACTCGGGATACTTGAATTCCGTGTTTCTGTAGTTGACACTTTCGGCCGGTCGGTAAATGGGTCCGGACGATGGTTTCTGCTCGAGGGGTTTCCTCGTACTTGTCGAATAGGGCCCCTCGTAGTGATGGTACTTGTAGTAGTTGTGCTCGTAGTCCTTGTTCCCGCCGTACTTGGCGTCGTGCTTGGTCATTCCCTGGAGAACTTTAGAGAAGACCTCCTCCTCGTTCTGACCGTAATTACCCCCATACTCGTCGAGATTGTACTTGTAGTTGGGCTCCAAATCGTAATTCCGCCGGGCGATTGAGCCGCCGAATGGATAGAGAAAGTAGGACGCGAGGCCTAGACCCAGACCAACGAGGGACATGACACCGAAACTGGGCATTACTTCCCTACTCAAGAAATTGTAAATTTGTGTACTGATGGGTTTTTGCACTTGTTTCTTCTTTGTTTTGGTACTGTTCACAACCTTAGTTTCGGGTTCGATCTTTGATTCTTGAATCGCGTTCTCGGCGCTCGAGGGTTCGGCGATATTTAGAGCTTCGGCGATTGTCGACAGGGCAGACAGTGCCGAATCAGTAGGTTCGGTTGTACTTGTCGGTTTACGTCGTCTAGTCTTGTTCTTCTTCCTCTTTGACGACTGTCTTCGTTTCGATGTTGGCTTCACTGTTGTCGTAGTCGATTTAATGGGTTCTGACGTCTCGACGTTTATTTTTGTCAGTTCGGGATTGAAATCGAATTTTAGATCGATTTTCGAAAGAATATCCTGATTTGTAGTATCCTTCGGATGTACAACTTTCTTTTGATCCGTTTTCGAAGGTTTCTTGGTTTCAAACACTTTTTCGATTTTCAAAACTGGGGCATTTACCTTTATCGGTTCGATCTCGATTTTCGTCATGTCGTCGACTGGTTTCTTTAGCTTCACCTGCAGGACGTTGTTGACTTTGTTGCTGCTTGGTTTTGTTCTGTTGTCTATCATGTCTTCCCTGATTGGACTTGGCTTTGTGAATAATTTTGTGGTTGGTTTTGGAGTTGATTCGGGGGATGGAGTTTTTTTCGTTTCGGTGTAAACGGAGGCTTTTATTTTGGTGATGAACATGGGAACTTCGGTAGTATCCGCTTGGGTTGAGATCATTTGTACAGGTTTGAAGGTTACCTTTTCGATTTTTGGAGTTGGAGAGTTGTGGATTTCGGGTTTGGATGTTGTGGTTGTTGTTTTTCTCTGGGGAGTAGGTTTGGGTTTATTTTGGGGTTTTGGTGCCTTGGTGGTTGCATTTTTAATTGGGTTTATTTTGGGTTTGGTGGTTGTACGAAGTGTTGGTGGGACTTTTTTTGTTGTAACTTGTTTAGGCGTGGTTGTTGTTGCTTCAAAATTGTCGGAGAAAAGTAAATTTGTTTCTTTGGCTTCATCAATTGATGTTGATGCTGTTGTTGTAGTTTTGGGTGTTGTGCTTTTCGGTGTTGTAATTTTGGGTGTTGTACTTTTCGGAGTTGTACTTTTTGGTGTTGTACTTTTCGGTGTTATACTTTTCGGAGTTGTTGGTTTCTCGATTTTTTTAAATTGAGTTTTTTCGGGATTTGGAGTTGATTTCTCAGGCTGTTGGGTAACCTTCTCCGTTTTTGTGATTAATTTCTCTAGTTTGGGAGTCGATGGAGTTGTTGACTTTCTAATGAGATTGGGCGTTGATTTTTTAGGAACCTGAGTATTTATTTTCTCGAAGGAAATGGGCGGTTGGACGGTAACCTTCTCAACGGAAGCGGATGCAATTTTTTGATCGGGGGATTCTACTTTTTGGATTGTTGACGTTGTCTTAACGATTAATTGTCCTTCGTTTGCGGGAGGATATTTGGTTTCTTCTTCGTCCTCGAGAGGAAGGTCTGTGGTTGCTGAGGGTGGATTCAAAAGAATCCAAGTGGAGATTCCACCAGTTGTTGTTGGTTGTACTTTATGGTTCGGATGTCTCATGGTATTTAATTCTTTTTCTAATTCCTCTTCTGTTAGTGCCATTGCTTCACCAGGATGACTGCTTTCGAGGAATCCAAATTTTGAATTGATGGGTCTTTCCTGAGAAATGTGTCTTGTGGCATTTTTTTCAAAATTTAGAGAATCGATTGTCTTTAGCATGGAAGAATGTTCAGTTTCTTTCTCCGATGATTCGACAAAAATTAATTTAGTTAAAACATCATTTGACGGTTGTTGTTGCTGTTGTGCTTTGTCTTTTGTCAAAACTTCCTTAGGATTTGTGACATTTAATAATTGCGTGGCCACCGTCCTCAGGGATTGGTCCATATGCTGAAGATCTTTCAGCTGCCGCTGAGAGTCAGATGTCGATGGCCTAAAAATAAAAATATTTCTTAAAAAACAGTTCGTACTAAAAAAATATTTTACTTCAAATTATTTGCACAACAAATTCCCATAAAAATATTAAAAAATAAATTTTTAATTAATCTCTTCCATTTCGTTAAATGTAAATTGTAAAATCATAATTATCATCTTCGTCACAATAAAAATACAAAAAAAAAATTAGGTAAAAGAGTCGCTATTTTTCTTTTGATAATCTTGAAATAATAAATCTCAATGAAAATGGTACAGATATTTTTTAATATAAATTATTTATTAGTATAGATTTTATACAGATACAGCTTTCTATGAAGAAGCAAAAATATTTATTCTTATCCTAAAATAGAATAAAACGAAAGTATAATTTTTAATACAATATTTTTTATGCGTCAAAAAGAATGTAATAATTAGAGGTGTGCAAAAAGCTCGAATAGCATGGTCGAGCTCGAGCCGGGCTCGATACTCGAGTCAGGCTCGAGTTTTAGTTACTCAAAAATATTTGAGTGCTCGAAAAATTCAAGTGCTCAAAATTATTTTAGGTTTAATACTGCACGTGTCGGATGGAATTTGGTTCAAGTTCGGATTGATTCTGCTCAGCTCTGATAGAAAAACGAAAAGCTTGAAATACTCGATCGAGCTTTTTGCACAACTTTAGTAATAATGAATTTTTGAATGTATCGTGTAATGGAAAATTGTAATCATTGACGAATTATTGCCCAGCTCAATGATAAACTAAGATAGTCTATTATAGTAATTTGCTACACGTTTTCTGCAAATGAGGCCTTAAATTTTATGTGCGTACGTGAGCGAATCTCGTAAAAAGGGAACAAGGAAAGGAGATGATTGGGAAATTTTGCATACAGTATACATCTGCGGGTAATTCAAAATTTCATTAAATATTTCAAACGAAGACATATTTTCTTTTAATAAAGATCTTAATAACAATCATCAATATAATTTTGTAATACAAAATTTCATATATAATCAACGTATAGTAATAAATAATACAAAAAATTTAGTATACAATTTTAATTTCATATAATAAAACAGTTTCATATAAAATACATACTTTCAATTATATATCAATTTGCAAAAAATACATCTTTCCTTTATTATAAAATATACACAAACTTAACAGTTAAAAGCTGAAAATAAATAGTGTTTGGGTTAAAAATTAAATTATTCCACTTTCTGGTGCTTAATTCTTTTTAAATAAAATTAAGTAGTGTTTTTTCTTTCATGTATAATTGTCCTTAGGGACAAGTAGCAATTATTTAAAACTTTTTGTCTAGTAGTAAATAAGTTATTTTGTAGAAAAAATATATTTCTTACATAATAATCTTGTTTTAATAAATATTAAATACATTAATGAATGCATGAAATTTATGGTAAATTAGTTTTCAATGAGTTATAATATTTGTTTAATAATTTTCTAAGATGTTAAACTCTACCGTCTAAGGTAACTTTATTAATATAATTATTATATTATTAATAAATAAATTAATGAATTAATAAATTAATAAATTAATCAGTTAAATAATAAATAAATTAATTAAATAATTCAAATTTACTAGAAAATAAATGTTCTGAAGTATTAATAAAACTAGTCTTTAGTTTGAAACTCGTAATATTAAAAAAGGCAATATCATACAATTTTATAGAAATATTAATTTAAATATAATATCGTGTCAAAAACTAACATTTTTGATTTCTCTAAAGTTTCGAATGTTCAAATGAACGACGATATTATTTATAACAAAAATTTGTTACTTCTTGTAAATGTAATTAATATTTTATTTATATTTAATTCAATACTTTTTATTTATTTGAATATTCAGTTGAACGACGTTCAAAATTTTAGTGAAATCATTTTTAAAATTCTCAAAGTTTAATATAAATAAACAAATAACAGATAAAATATATCAAATATACAACATACAAATAAATATACGTAACAGATAATAAAATGGTTTGTTTAAATTAATTAACTAAACTACATAATATTGTATTTTGGCAAGTTAATTGTTCTTTTAGCATAAAAAGATAAAAGCTGTAAATATATAATTGCTTTAATTTCATGCTTTATAATTAATACTTTAAATAAAAAAATAAACAAATAAATAAAATTAAAAAATATACAAAATAAATAAAATATATAAAATAAATAACTAAAATAAATCAATAAATATATAAATCAAAGAAACATTTCGACATTTCGAACAACTCGAATAATTTGAACAAAGAAATTTAACACTTTAAGAAATAGTTATAAATTTAAAAAAAAATTGAAATTAAATGAAGATTGCAACTGAATTTAAAAGAAAATAGAGACATTATAAAAGTAATTAAAGAAGATATTAAACACACTAAATAACAATCGGCAAAAATTAGATTTAAAAAAAAAGCTTACGAATTCCGAGCAAACAAAGAAAAACTTTATATTACTTTTTTATTTAGAAAAAAAATTCAAATAATTTCAAAGAAAGATACATTTATTGATAGATGTGGAGAAGAAAAATTTATCTGACTCAAAAAAAATAAATAAAATAAGAAAAACCAACAAAAAGATTTAAAACAAATTTTGTAAGATTTTTAAAAAGAAATCCAATTTTTAATTTCAAAGAAGATCTTCAAAATTAAGTACATTAGAGAGTTTTAACGAATTTATGAAAAGAAAGAATGATTATATAAAAGTGAGACAAATGAAATAAAACGAAAAAATCGGAACAAAGAAATAGAAATGAATTGACTAAAAAAAAATTTATTTAATTTAAATTACCGATTACTTGTCTATCATCAAATAAATATTCACTTCAATCAAATAATTTTTTCTTAAATCAAATACTTTAATTGACTTGAATAAAAATTATTTGAAACAAATAAAATGTCCTTTAAGTTCTGAACATTCGAATGAACAAAATTTATTTATTTCTTCTTTAAATTAAATTTTTTTGATTGATTTGAATTCTTTTATCTTCTTCTGACATTTCCAAAAATTTGTTGTAATTTCTTTATGAAAACTGAAACTTTAACAAATTATTAAGATATAATAATTTATCTATAATAATTTTGTTATGGAAATAGCTGCCATGGTAACCATTACCGTAGTAACGGTTGCTATAGTAACCATTACCATAGTAGCGGTTGTTATGGTAACCATTAACATACTTACGGTTGCTATGGAATCTATTACTATAGGAACGATTACTATAGTTACGGTTGCTATGGTAACCATCACCACGTAATCTAACGGCCCCTATGGGGGCCGTTAGAAACTGCGTATGGATATCAGAACCTTCTTTTAAGGGTTTCGACCCTTAGCCACGAAACCCTAAAAAATGATCAATAAAATACTTGATGAATAGACAAGTAATCGTTTATTTGATTAAAATAAATTTCCTTTTAGTGTAGAAATTTAAATCCAAAGAAAGATTTTTTTAAGCATCCAATAAGAATAAATCCCTAATAGTAGACGTTTTAGAAGAGCCACAATTACCAGAAGATTCCTATTCATTAAATTAATTTTTTTTAAGACTTATGTTTCAAAAGCATCCTCACTCGACATCAACAATTCCCACCTTTTCATCTCTTCCTCCTCTTCCTACGCTTACTTTTCCATTCGTTCCAATTTCTATACTTGCGAATCGCTTGCTTAACAATTTCCTCGAGACCGGGTGTAAATCTGATATCAGTACGATGATCATACGATCTGCCAAGGTCCAGAGCACCCGGAAATGCCCAGGGGAATAAAAAGGCCGCCACACCTAGAACCCCCGCAGCAAAAGCAGCGAAAGGCGCAATACTCACATTCATCAGACCATAATTCAACGGATTCAAATAACTAAACGACGAAAAGAACGAACCCATCGAATCCATAACACCATAGGGCGACAAATCAAAATCATCATAATCAAAATAATCATCATCGTCCTCGTCCGAATCAACAGCGGCTGTAGCAGCATCAACAGCCGCTCCTCCTCCACCTCCTGGCGATGCACCAGCTCCACCCGAACCACCCAAACCATTCGGATTCGTCAACTGATTCGCAGTCTGCGTCGCCGCCATATTCGTCAGTCCCACCAAATTCGGAACACCGGGTCTCGAACCACTGTAGGTCACTGCCGACGAACCGTCATTAGCCTGACCTGGTCCCGTTCCAATGCCCGACGACGATTGACCCTCTTCGCTAACGCCCGTCGAATTAGAGAAGAAACTCGTCGAATTTTCGTTAGAATTTTCGGTAATTGTCGTCGTGGCCACTGACGTTGCCGCATTGTTCGCATCCTCCGATACCGCATCGTTAATTTCCTGAAAGTCCTGAACTGGACCCTGATCTTTGGGAGGCGCGTCAGGACGGTCGTAATCCGAACCTAAATCCGCATCCGAAGCAAAATCCTCATCCAAAGCAAACTCGTCATCCGTATCAGAAGCCAAATCATCATCCGCATCAGAAGCAAACTCCGAATTCATGTCCGACTCAAACTCGGAAGCTAAATTAGCAGCCGAATCGAAATCGTGTGCAGAAGCAGAAGTAAAATCAGAAGCAGGAGCCAAATCGGAAGCTGAATGAAAATCAGAAACCGAATTGAAACCAGGAGGAGAATTAAAATCAGAAGCAGAATTAAAATCAGAAGCAGGAGCCAAATCAGAAGCTGAAGTAAAGTCAGAAGCCGAATTGAAAGCGGGACCCAAATCAGAAATGGGATCCGAAAATAAACCGCTCGTCACATTCGGCACACCGGTACCGATATTAATCTTCGTCCCCGAAATAATTTCGACGGAATTCGCCGGATTTGTAGTCGCCTGCGGAACTTGTATCTTCACCTGTTGGTGCGTATCGACCTGAGCTGTCGAATAGTACGGATCGACATTTGTCGTAGGTTCACTCTGGTACACCGGACCACTGGTAGGTCCGGTTTGCAGCAACGGATCACTGGTGTAAGGAAGAGATACCTGATCCTTCTGCCCACCGGTCACAATCGGCCCCGACGAAGGACTAGTAAACACGTTCGTACTAAGAACTTGCGAATTAATAACAATGTTCAAATCCGTACAACCTTCTTTACTCTCAATCTTGTTTTTCACCTTCGTGATCGAATTTATCATAATCGTGGGACAATCGTCCCTGACGTTTGACAGAGTTTCAGTATTATTCGCCGGATCGTCGCTCATGAACATTATGTGGACATTCGGTGGCGAACCGGTATTGTTGGTTGCGGCAGTTTTTTGCGGGGGTTTCTTCGAACCAGTGATGGTGACATTCGGTTTCTTCGAGCCGGGATTCATTATGTGGACGACTGTGTCCTGGACGACGGTTGAAGTGGGTCTGTAGACCGGTTGACGGGTTAGGGACGGATCCTGAAGACTGTTTATCATCGAATCGAGTTGTGGCGAAGAGAAGTAGTACTGGGGTTTTTGGAAATGGTTCTTATCGAAATTCGATGAGTACGAAGGGGGAGAAATGGGAGAAATCGGGGAAATTGAGGAAATGGGAGAAGGCGAATCGGAAGTGTAGGTAGAGGTCGAGTAGGTAGAATCTTCGTTGGAGTCTTCATTAACTTTAGCCGGTGCGTTAGGTTCAAAATCGTCGTACAAAGGTTCGAAGACGTTACTGATTGGCTTTCCGGAGTGCTCCTCGATCATGTGACTCTGGTTTCGGGAGAAGGCGGGAATTCTCAGCCACTGGATCATCTCCTCCATTGAGGCATGATGGTGTGGTGCTTGATAGGGAGTCTTAGTTCCCGTGGGGAAATTTTGTTGGGAGAAATATTTATCCGAATTGTACAGGTCCTCGACGGTCGACGCGACAACTTCGGCTGGCCATTTCTTTAGGGGAAGGTTCGCCGCTATTTTCGAATTCGGCCTCGGAGTTACGATATTTCTATGAGGGTTTTTCAAAAAATTATCCTTCGTCACAAGATTCGGAGGCCTTGTGAACTTACCACCGTCCCCTAGATTTTCCGTCTTTATCTGGGAGTTCAAGTTCGCCTTTACGATATTAACCCTATCCTTAATGATTTTAGTCGAATTTTTAAAAACTTTTATTTTTTCCTTCGAATTACGATTTGGAATACTATAGGGTATTATTTTCACATAATTTCTTGTTCGGGAGGAAATTTTTCTACCTTCACTCAACGATCTCTTGTCGGAAGTAATTTTCTGATTATCCGAATTCGATTGATAGTGAATTTTAAGACTTTGTTCATTGTCTTGATTATCGAAAGGGGTCTTGTCCTGTGAGGAGGCGTGACTTGAAATCGGAATTGGAATGACCTTACTACTCACCTTATGAATAATATTCTTTCCAAATTGACTAATTTCCCGGGAATTGTGACCTCGAATTATTTCATTTTTATCATCACTTCGTCTCTGAGGATAGGTTTTGCCTATCCATTGATTTTCTAATTGATAATTGTAAAAGTTATTATTATTAGCATTATTATCGTTTAGTGTTCGAGCCCTAACGGATGTGGAATAATTTAATTTTATTGTTGGACTTAAATTAAATGTTGGTATATAGTTATAAATTAATCTATTATTTCTTCCATTCCCTATGTACCTGCTATTGCTTAGGACACTTTGAGAAATGTCCTCGCTTCCCATTGAAATTGGTTTCCAGCCATTTCCATTTGCATCCGCTCTTCCTTCATGAGCTGTAACAAAACATATTTAATTATAAATATTATTTTAAATAAATAAATATTATTAAGTAGGGATTTTTTTTTATTTAATGAATATTATTGCAACAAAATATTGAATCCGGAGAAGAAACAGATTTGATGTTTTCCAGTCAGGTAAGAAAAGGGATGATCCGATAATTGTCTATTAAATTGAAATGAATTCAAGTCCTACTTTACTTTTCAGGCAATTTACCGATTAATAAATTCCAATCATTAACTTTTCTCCCAGACTGAAGAGTCTATTAATTTCTCAAGTAATAATTATAATAATTTATGATACGAATAGTAAACTGTAATTCTCGAAGAAGTTTCTTTTGAAAATAAAGAAAAATAATAACAATAAAAATTATTAAAAAAATAAAAGAATAAAAACTATAAAATAAAAAAAATTCTAAAAAGAAAAATAAGCGAATAACAATTATAAAATAAAAGAATAATTAAAAATTAAAGTTAACGATCACTCCGAGTCCAAAGAGTGATCGTTAACTTCAATTTTTAATTTAATTTATTTGTTTCTTTATCGTAAATTCAAGTGTTAATTAATTATAACAATTAATTGTTCCTTAATTTGTATTAAATACGTTTTAAATTTGCTTCCAGCGAAAAGGAGCGTGTTTTTGAAATTGATTGTACAACTGGAATGATCCTTATAAAATAAAAATCCCACTCGAGAAGATAAATTGAGATTGCTTATATATATAAAGGCTCGTTAACTGCAGTACAAGATTGTTAATGTTCTAAGTCACGCATGTCCGTGAAGTAATAGAATTAAATATAAAATTATTTATTTTTTCCAAACAAAACGATTCACTGTACTACTGGTATTACACTTTATAATCTGGGTGTGAGCATCATTCAAAAGTTACTTTCGCTGAAAGCAAAACCATTAAACTGATGTGTATATAATATAAATATAGCGAGACAGACATTTAAAAAAAAAACGGTAGTCGGTATTTAACATTTTTTATTCATTACATATATTTATGATAAATGTGTATTCAATTTTTGCAGGAAAAAATAATTTCCTTTTTCTTCGCCAGTGCGTAAAAAAACAATATTTAAAAAAATTGATTTCACTTTTTATTATTGATTTTCTATATCAATTATAGAGAAACTTGTATATAAATATTTCATTTCATTTTCGAGTTAGAATTTATTTTTTCCGAATTATTTGATCCGGATTCTTATCAAATCTGACATGGAATAATCTATTGTATTTTTTCATAATGTATTTATACATTTTAATTAATATTTTCATAATTTTCATAATTTTCATAAATTTTAATAAATTTTAATAAATTTTAATTAATTATTTAAATTTTTTCTTATTAATAAATAATTAATTAAAAATAAGGGAATATGTAATTACAACTTACCGGAATTCTGAGGTCTGGATTTGACTGATCCTGCAAGAAGCAGGAATGTAACGAGCTTTAACAGCTTTAACCGCATTTTCACCCTGAAACACAAAAAGAATAGAATTTAATTAGTATTTGGTATTTTTAACTCTTGTCAATAATTTCAATTTAATAATTTATTATTTTACTTTGTGTTTTCAATTTAATTTTTTTATTCAACTTGTTTTTAATTTTTCAAAACTTTTATTTATGTTTTTACTGTTATTAAAATAATTTATACAAAAATTTCGAGAAATTTAAATAGAAAAATAATTTTTCTACTAAATTGTTGATTTTTGAAATTAAATTGTTAAATTAAATAAATTAATTAAATTCTAAACGAAAATTGTAAAATTAAATTTTTAACTAATTGTTAAATTGTCAACAAAATTGTTAATGGTTGTAAACTTCACCAACGTATTTATTTGACAGGAAACAATAAATATTAAATACCGATTCATTTTCATGACTAAAAAAGAAAATAAAAAAAGTTGAACGAAACTTTTTTTTTAAATTCATTTTTTATGATAGATAAAAATGATAAGAGTTTTATATTTATTATAATTATTCGATTTTTTTTTATTTTTATTTTTATAATACTTAAATATAATAAAAACTCTTATCATTTTTATGATAAAAAACAATTTTTTTTAAAAAGTTTCGTTCAACTTTTTCTATTTTCTTTTTTATAAACATTAAATATTGAAAGGAGAAAAAAAACACGTGGAGTTTAAAAAACAAAAAAAAACATATAAATTTAAGACTTTAAAAAATTACGCAAGTCGTACACGATTCGAATGTTTTATGGTTCCTTTGTATACCAAAGTGGCAAGGTCCTGTTTGATTTAATCATTTCTATGCCCCTTGCATTTTAAATTATTCGATTATTATCGATTACCTGATTAATTCTAATTCAAAATTTGTCTGTCCACTGCAAATAATTTCGGAATGACATTAACTGTTAATGAATAAATTAATTTTTTTTCTGACATTTTTAAATGACAAATTTGTTTCAGTGCATTGAGAAAATGATACAAAATAATTTATATTAATTAATTATTATGTCAATATTAATTTCAACTCAGTAAAAAATTAATATTTCCATTCTAAAATTAATTATTAATAATAATTAAATTAAATAATAAAGAATATTTATTAATAATAAATTAATTATAATTTCATTTATTAATACTTATAATTAATAAATGAATATTAATTAATAATTAGTACCATTATTAATTTTTTTGTTCTTGATTTTTTCCCTTTTCAATTTGTTCTTTTCTGTATTTTTAATAACTCTTAACTTTATCTCTGAAATTAGTTAATTGATTTACACCATTTTTAAAGAAAAATTTTTTTTTATGTAATTACATATATTATTAGAATTAATAAATAATATAAATTTAATTTCATCATTGTCAAGCAATTTGTACCCGTAAATTTATATAAAAATAAAAAGAAAAAATAAATTTGAATAAAATATTCAATGAAATTCAATTCTTTGACTAGAGAAAAAAATCGTAAACAAATATTAAATAATTTTTTGCAAAAATAACACGTGAGAATATTGCCTATTTTGTCAAAGAGTTATTCAATTAGTGTAATAAAGAACCATAATAGGAAAATAATCATATATAAAAAAAGGTTTTACATAACATAATTATTTCCGTCTGGCGACAAGTATTATATAGAAAAGAAAAAGAAGAATCTCAAAAAATAACAGGTTTCAGAAGGATTTGATATAACGCGTGTTTTATAAAGTTTGTCTAATGACTCAGCCTTCAAACGCTCGATGTTTGTCAATATCCAGTTAGATTTGAAGTCTTCAGTTTTTACCGTTGCATTTTTTCGTACATATTTGTGTCCGATAACGGTACCGATCATCAATCTCAAAGATCTTATTTTGCAAACTCTCGCAAACAAAATTATTATATATATATATATATATATATTTATTTATTATGCACAAAACATACGAATTTCAACGAATATCATACAAACAGTTACCAGAAATTATTTAAAGTATGTCAGAGGAAAAAAAAGAATTTTTTTCCTTTTCTTTTATTAGGTCCTTGAAAAAAATCAAAGTTTCCTTGTTTATGAAAGTAAAATGATCGAAGAAAAAAAAATCTATTCTTTCGACAAAGAAAAACAATGATATTTATAGTTTGCAAATTTTTTTTTCAAAAATGGGGGAGGTAGAGAAAATTTATTAAAAATTGAAAAATATATTTTTTTCTAAATTTTTTATTCTGAGTTGAGAACTTTATCAAAGTTTTTAATTTTTACGAGAATATAGATCTTGCGTATTTTTTGATAAAATTTAAACAAAATATTGTATTAGATTGTTCAAAATTTAAAAAAAAGGAAAATTATAATAATTTAAAAAGTAAATTACATTTTTTTGTTTGAAACTATAATCATTATATCGTTTTAAAAAAAGTGAATAAAAGAAAGAAAACGAAAATCACTCTTAGCTACTATAGAAGTAAAATATAATAATAATTATTTTTTTTTAAACAAAAACTTTTTTTCCTGTAAATTTCCATAAAATTCTTTTAAAATTCAATTATTCTCAAAAATATCAATAACATTATTAAAAATACAATTATTTTCAAACATTTAAACAAAATTTATTAAAAATTCAATTATTTTCAAAAAGTCAAACAAAATTAATTCAAAATACAATTATTTTCAGAAATTTAAACAAATTTGATTGAAAATTCAATTATTTTCAAAAATTAAAAACAAAATTCATTCAAAATTTAATTATTTTTAAAAATTAAAACAAAATTCATTCAAAATTCCATTATTTACAAAAATTCAAACAAAATTCATTAAAGATTTAATTATTTTCAAAAATTCATTCAAAATTCAAACAAAATTTATTCAAAATTCAATTATCTTCAAAAATTCAAACAAAATTTATTCAAAATTCAATTATTTTCAAAAATTCAAACAAAACTCATCCAAAATTAAAACAAAATTCATTCAAAATTCAATTATTTACAAAAATTCAAACAAAATTCATTAAAGATTCAATTATTTTCAAAACTTTATTCAAAATTCAAACAAAATTTATTCAAAATTCAATTATTTACAAAAATTCAAACAAAATTCATTAAAGATTCAATTATTTTCAAAACTTTATTCAAAATTCAAACAAAATTTATTCAAAATTCAATTATTTACAAAAATTCAAACAAAATTCATTCAAAATTCAATTATTTTCAAAAATTCAAACAAAATTCAAACAAAATTCAAACAAAATTTATTTAAAATTCAATTATTTACAAAAATTCAAACAAAATTCATTAAAGATTCAATTATTTTCAAAAATTAATTCAAAATTCAAACAAAATTCATTCAAAATTCAATTATTTACAAAAATTCAAACAAAATTCATTAAAGATTCAATTATTTTCAAAACTTCATTCAAAATTCAAACAAAATTTATTCAAAATTCAATTATTTACAAAAATTCAAACAAAATTCATTAAAGATTCAATTATTTTCAAAAATTAATTCAAAATTCAAACAAAATTTATTCAAAATTCAATTATCTTCAAAAATTCAAACAAAATTCATTCAAAATTCAATTATTTTCAAAAATTCAAACAAAACTCATCCAAAATTAAAACAAAATTCATTCAAAATTCAATTATTTACAAAAATTCAAACAAAATTCATTAAAGATTCAATTATTTTCAAATATTCATTTAAATTTCAAACAAAAATTATTCAAAATTCAATTATATTTAAAATTTCAAACAAATTTCATTCAAAATTCAATTATTTTAAAAAATTCAAACAAAACTCATCTAAAATTAAAACAAAATTCATTCAAAATTCAATTATTTACAAAAATTCATACAAAATTCATTAAAGATTCAATTATTTTCAAAAATTCATTCAAAAATTCAAACAAAATTTATTCAAAATTCAATTATCTTTAAAATATTGCTATAGATTGTTCAAAATTAAAAAAAAAGAAAAATAATCTGAAAAGTAAATTATTGAATCGAAAGTAACCACAGCTGATAGTCAGCAGAAGATGAAAAATTATATTTTAATTTTAAGCGAACTTTATCTTCTGTTCACTAAGAGTCATTCCATTATATTTCGACTAAAGTCGTTGCCGACTAATTTTAAAAAATTGTAATATTTTGCAGGAATGATTTTAAAGATATTAGGATCACCGAACAAAAAGAATTTTTTAAATATTTTTTATATTTATTGTAAAATAAGCATCTAAAGTATATGAAGTCGTAAAAACTGACACTTTTTCATCTAATAGAAAATATTAAAGAAAACACATAATTTACTATAAAAACGTAAAAAAATTATTAGAATTTATTAAGAATGAATTATTTTATTATTATAAATTGATAGAAACAATTATTAATAAGAAATATTAAATAAAAAATAATTTTAAAGTTTACATGGAAAATAACCTATTTTTGCAAATTTCATTCACTAAATATGAGAAAGAGAAATCATTAAATTGGATAAAACCTTATGAAATATAAAGTACCTGTGATTAACTTTTAGTTTTTCTTATCACTTTCTTCCTGTTTTCTTCACAAATATTAAAAAATAAGCAATTAAAACTGGCACTTTGCTTATTTTCACGATTTTAAAATGCAAATAACTTCTGCCCAGAAAAATGAAAAATTACGAAAATTGGGCAATAATTATTTGATCACTAGATACACTTACTGGAAAAAGATTTTCTTTGGTCCCGAAGCTATTTCTCGAATTAATTAACTTTAAACTTTTTACTATTTTTATCAGGTTAATACATGTGATTTCTTTAAAACTGAAGTTGGTTCAAAACGATTAAACAAGAAGAGCTAACTTCGTCCTTTAAAAAACACATGTATTAACCTGATAAAAATAGTAAAAAGTTTAAAGTTAATTAATTCGAGAAATAGCTTCGGGACCAAAGAAAATCTTTTTCCAGTAAGTGTATCTAGTGATCAAATAATTATTGCCCAATTTTCGTAATTTTTCATTTTTCTGGGCAGAAGTTATTTGCATTTTAAAATCGTGAAAATAAGCA